AATTTTCTCTATAAGGTCATGCAAAAGAGATATATGTCTTAGCAGTTTTAAGCTTACCAGCAAACCTTCTTTCAAAGCAAGCTGTTTGGCAGTTTGTATAGCTTCCTCGCTAGAAACCTGAAATGTTGCAACATAATCGGAAATGAATAGAATAGAAGATAGTAGTAAATAGGATTAAGTAGAAGAAACTCTAAAATTTCATAGAGCTGGCTAGAACATGGAAGAAATGAAAGATAACTATAGTTTTCAATTTCTAATTGTTGATGATGTACTCCAACATTTCTATGAAAATCTAAGTTCAACAGAGAAAACTTAGTAATGGGATGAAACTGCATTAAAAATTTGAAATTATTTCTGAAGTTGAGTGGAATGCAGTTGCCTTCTCAAGACTTACTTGAATAACTTCATCAAGAATGTCAACGTCCAAAACAGGGGGGATGACTCCGGCGCCAATTCCTTGGATCAGATGAGGGCCTTTAACATGGACAACAGACAATAAAATTAGCAACCAGTCAGTGACTTTGCCTGTGCCAGAAAGGTTTTGATGAAATATGATTGGTAATATAACAACCAAAGCTTAACAGTCTTCTTTAAAACATAATTATAGAACCTTGCTGAAACAGAATACACTAGTGACAAGGAAAAGCAAGGAGAACCAAGGCATGGAAGTAATTAAACTTACCAGGTTTTCCACCATTTAAGACGGCACTTTCAGCTGGTTCTACACCATATACCTACAAGCAAGCACAAGTGAGATGCTCAAAAAAGACTTACAAGCTAGTAGATATTAACAACAATAATAAAAAAGGCGGCTCTCACAGAAGGTGAAGAAAAAAAGACTAGGGCTTATAAGACAACCTTAATATCAGGGTTCTTCTCTTTGAGGAATTTCCCTGCCCCTGTTATCGTACCCCCAGTTCCTATCCCTGCAACTAGGGCATCAACTTTCCCTCCTGAATCTCTCCAAATCTCTGGGCCAGTGGTGTCATAATGGATCTACTCACACAAACAATTCAAGTTATCCTTTCAAATATGCCAAAAGAAATTACATGATACTAAAATATAAGAATTAAAAAGGAAGACACCTTTGGATTGGCAGGATTTTCAAATTGCTGAAGAATGTATCCATTAGGTGTTTTACTCAGGATCTCCTCTGACTTGTCAAAAACCCCCTGGATGCCTTTTGACATGTCAGTGAGAATCACCTCAGCTCCAAAAGCTTGTGGAACAATTCTCCTCTCAATACTAGAGACTATTGGCATTATGAGGATCACTTTATATCCTCTAACTGCTCCAATAAAGGCCAACCCAATTCCAGTGTTACCACTGGTAGGCTCAATGAGAACAGTCTTTGGCAGGTAGAGTTCAAATAGATATAGAACCAAGGGAAGTTTGTCAGTAAAAATGTTCAATTTTTGGATTATATATTCATACTGAAATCTGTCCTAATAAAGAAAAGATCAGTTCGAGCATTGATAGACCAAGAAAAAATCTTTTGATTCCTGGACAGAAGAAAAATTCATTTATACTTGATGAAGAACACATAACTGCCTAAAATCATCCTTCCCAAGTCATTGAAATTAATTGAATTGTGGTTAGATTGGCATCAAAATATCGACTGACTTAAAAGAAATTATCTTTGTAATTATGTAATTATAGATCTAATAGATGACATTCAAATATGAGAATATCAACACCTTTCCTGGGGTAATCAACCCCTTTTCTTCTGCATCTTTGATCATACTATATGCTATCCTGCATGTTGCAACAAAAAGATTATAGCAGTTAAAATTCCCAATATGATATGAAGAAAATTAAATAAATGAATATGTGACAGAGGAGGGGGAAGGCATATGCCTGTCTTTAACACTAGAACATGGTTGCATTGTCTCTAGCTTAGCAGCGATATGGGCCACACAACCATCCACGATGTTGTTTAGATATACCATTGGTGTATTTCCTATTAACTGAACAAGGTAGCCATGGGGAGGTTAATACCCAAAAATTCACTATGGGGCAGCATGTCATGAGAACTGAATTTTAAGATGAAAGAAGACATGCGATCGTTAACAGTTTGGTAAGGGAAACTAACTTCAGTAACATCTTTCTTGATTGCAAATTGGTCCTCCATATTCTACTTGTAAGAATCTGTTGTTAAAAAACAAGTGAAAGGATGAGAATTTAACTTTTGAAAAAGAAAAATTGCATCCTTGAACAAGCAGGAAGACATTGTTGGCAAACAGTTGGAAAGTCAACAAAACAAAAGTTTCCATTTCTCCATTGGCATATGTTTAGCCACTCAGCAGAATTATGAGAGAGTAAAAAGTCAAAAAAAAAAAAAAAAAAACCAGAGAAATTTGAAAATAAAGCGATCGTAAAAACGTCAAGAATCCAATATCCTAAAAGTTAAAAAGACCAAAAAAAGCAAGCAAACAAAATAGAATTTCAAGCACAAATTACTCAAATCTAATTGAAGAATATGATGAACAGAACAAAAGTTCACCGTGTGCTTGAAAAGTATTTTACCAAGAATGTCAAGTGCTTGGTCGCCGGAGATCCAAAAACTTGAAGAATCCAACTCCTGAACCAGTAATAAGGCCATAATTAAACAGAGGGAAAAGGCAGACAAATCAAGAACAAAAAGAGAGAAAGAGAGAGAGAGCGAGATCAAGACAGTGAAACGACGAAAGTTAAATATAGCCTTAAAGATTATGCAAATTTTTCTGAAAGGGACCTTCAAATAGTCAGATTCTTGAGTCCTCATACAGGATTTTATGAATACAAAGAGTAAATAAATATATCAGCCAAAAAAAGGGGAGTAAATAGACCTCGAACTCTCCGAAGTCCAAACTTCAATCCAAACCTTATCTCTGAAAAATAATTTCTACCCAAAAACAACTGATATTAGCAACATGATTGCTGAGCTTTACCTTTTCTGAGGTATGAACCAGGATGGTAACTTAAAATGCTATCAGGAATGTGCAATATAAAAGGACAATAAACAAAGATTAGACCAGAACAATGTGCACCCATTTCCAGGAAAGAGCCAAAATATAAAAATTCAAAACAAAAAAGTAAGAAAAAAATTAATAATAAAAAGATGATGACATTTTTAGAATAAATTAAACAAACACAGATTGCAGATCCCATGTAGCCTAAGTCACGCTGCACTTGG